AGACACCTTTGGTCACGAGGATATCCTACATACCCTGACTGGTCATGCACAGAACTACATGCTTGGCTTTGCTCAGGAAGGTGGGGATTGGGCTGGAGACCATAACGTTACTGCATACTTGCTCTGCTTTTTAATGTGCTTTTGTGACCAAAGTCTCCGTGACAAATAAGTAAATGTTCTTTATTCTCCCTGTCCTGTTCCCTCAAGGGTTCATTTTCCTCAAGGCATATGCTTTAGAATTGAAAGCCATAAGGAGTATAATAGGATGAAAGTGGGTATGTGATCAAAAGAGATTTCATTTACCTTCCCAGGTAAATGGGAGTTGTCTTTAAAAAACACAATAGAAATGCTCAGCATACACCAGGTCTTGCTGAATAGTACACTCCCTTCCCTAACTGTCCTTTGAATCAACTTCCCATTTTCTCTACACACTGTCACTGCCTTAGTTTTCATCCTTCTCACCACAGCAATGGCTTTCTCTTCTTTTCTCTATTTCTTTTTTTAATTAAAGTATAGTCAGTTACAATGTGTCAATTTCTAGTGTACAGCACAATGTCCCAGTCATACATATACATACATAAATTTGTTTTCATATTCTTTTTCCTTAAATCCTATAGCAAGATATTGAATATAGTTCCTTGTGCTATACAGAAGAAATTTGTTTTTTATCTATTTTTATATATAGTGGCTAACATTTGCAAATCTCAAACTCCCAAATTCATCCCTTCCCACCTCCTTTCCCAGATAACCATGAAATTGTTTACTATGTCTGGAAATCTGCTTCTGCTTTGTAGATGAGGTTATTAGTGGCCTCTTTTTTCTTTTTTTTTAGATCCACATGAGTGATATCATATGGTATTTTCTTTCTCTTTCTGGCTTACTTCGCTTAGAATGATGATCTCCAGGTCCATCCATGTAGCTCAAATGGCATTAATTTATTCTTTTTATGGCTGAGTAGTATTCCATTGTATAAATATACCACAGTTTCTTTATCCAGTCATCTGCTGATGGACATTTAGGTTGTCTCCATGTCTTGGATATTGTAAATAGTGTTGCTATAAACATTGGGGAGCATGTGTCTTTATGAATTAGAGTTCCCTCCGGATATATGTCCAGGAGTGGGATTGCTGGATCATGTGATAACTCTACTTTTAGTTTTTTAAGGAACCTCCATACTGTCCTCCATAGTGGCTGCAGCAAACTGCATTCCCACCAGCAGTGTAGGAGGGTTCCCTTTTCTCCACACCCTCCCCAGCATTTATTGTTTGTGGACTTTTGAATGATGGTCATTCTGACTGGTGTGAGGTGATACCTTGTTGTAGTTTTGATTTGCACTTCTCTGATAATTAGTGATACTGCGCATGGCTTTCTCTTCTTGGTCTCCCTGTAAACCAACCACCATCTAGTTAATTAAGTGTGATAATGGTATTATTGTTATTTAGGATATTATCATTTTTAAAGATACATACTAAACAATTTCAGGAAAAAAATAACATTTATATTTTTCTTTAAATTCAGTCACCAAAAAAAAGATGAACAAATATGGCAAAATATTGATTGTCTGTGTATCCATAAGGCTATTCATTTGATTAACTAAAGAATAAAAATGACCAAATGTCTTCTATTAATAGAGATCTGACTGAGTAACCTATAATAGATCCCACCCAATAAAAACAGTCTGACGTATGGAAAACATTCAACTCTGACAGACGTGGGTGGTGGCCGTCGGAGGCCTGTTGTGTTACTCACTGAATCGGTCTGTTCTTTTGGATTAGGGCTGTTCTGGCCACATGACACCCCAACTCCTGTCACTTGCCTCCAATGACCTTTGTTAGAAGGAGGCCAAACAAGCAGCCAACACTCGTCCCTCATCCCCTACAGCTCTTTCTGCTTCTGACGGAAGTGGCCCATGTTTTATTCCAGAGACAAGAGGGAGCTCCTGAATGTTCTTGAGGAAGCCAAGGGACCAGATGAAAATGGACTTGGAAAGATCTTCCTGACATTCAGGGGAGCGAGCACGTTCACCCGAGATGATCAGGAAAACAGGACGGGAGAGGAGGCATGCGAGGCCGTGGCAACAGAGCTGACAGGGGCCCAGGGGTGTGAGAGGGCCTGGTGTCACGGACAGCTACAGGGAGCCTCCACTCGCTTACAGTTAACTCGTGTCGCTGAATTTCATGATGAAGTGTTTCTTCCCACACGTTCCTCAGAAGAGCCCACGACATTCATCGCCCCTCTTCAAGGCCAAAATTAAGGCTATGAAAGCGCTCAGTGTCTCTGATTTGCTCAAGCCAGTTCACACACCTCAGGCCCCCCGACTTTAGTGAGCAGTTTGGGGCAGGAGGGTAGTGGGCTGGTCTATAACCAAGCATCGGTCTCGGGCCCAGCGTCTCTGAGACTCAACCTTGACATCTGTGAAATGGAGCAGCACCGACGCACCCCCTCCTGAGGGGAGGAAAGGGGTGAGGCAGGAGACGCTCTGGGGCCTCACCCGGGGAGGAGCAGCTGCCCCATAAACGGCAGGTGGCCGAGCAGGGCTCCCGCTGCCCCAGCACGTCTGTGGCCCCAGATGTTGGTCAGAGCAGTGACTGCTCCAGGCAAGGCCTGACTGCACATTTCAGGCCTTGGAAAGGAGAGACTGACAGGCTGATGATTAAATAATAAGGAAATTAATGCTCAGTCAAATTAGCCTTGGCATTGATTTTTGAAACTTGTATTCAAATATTTATTTGTTCAGCACAACCCAAACAGCAAGCAGACCAGCCAAATTTAATCAGGATCCATTCAAGTTCTGTTTTTAAAATATATAAGTGCATATAATATGAAGTATATACAGGTACTTTTACTATAGTTTTATTTTACATATTTAAATATGTAACATAGATTATATATAATGTATAAGTGTACATACCTATAAATACATGAATCAATCATTATAAATATATATAATTTATTTTATATATTTTGCATATAAAATATACAAATACAACTTGTTTTATATATACAAGTAGATATAAGTACAACTATATACTTAAATATGTACATTTAATATGTACACAGGAATCATTATAAAGTGTGTGTGTGTGTATATATATATATATATATTTCACTTTACACATATACATATGTGTGGACTTCCATGGTGTTTTTCAGAACTATACTTATCATTTTCTTCAGCACTAGGAATAAGACAGGGGCTATGAAAGCCACGTCCATGATAGTTTCTCCCAACAAGTTAAACCCTAACTAAGCACCTTCTACAAAAGTCCCGGCTGAGGTTCCCTGAAGTCTTACAGACAAGCAGACGGGGTGGACCCAGTCAGCACGTGGGGTTTCCACAGAGCTCCCACCGCAGGGCCGACCTCTGCAGTAACTATGAGGTCTCCCTGGATGCAACGTGCAGGTTTCTTCCTTGTTCCAAAGGGAATTTGGAGCCCGTGAGATACGCGGCCTCTGAAGAGGCAGGATTTACTTTTGCTCCTACGGAGAAGAAAATACATGTGAATATTTTGTTCAGTCCTCGGATGCGATTTTTTTCTAAGGGTGGGTGTTTCCCCCGAAGAATGTCACAAGCAATACTCTCTGGTCAGCACTGCGGAAACCAGGACTTGCCGGGCTCCCCAGCCAATCGGCCTCTTCCCCACAAACCCTGAATGTGCCCGCCGTGGTGTAAAGAGTGAGCGGGAAGCCAGCCCTGACCCCCGCCGTCCTCACCACAGGCCACGATGGCGTGAGACCAGCCGACCCGGTAACCCTTCAGTTGTTCCTTGGACCGTTAAGATGAACTTTCAGGGTTGCGGCTGGTAGTGTCCAGTGATGTGTGCCTTGGACTCCTCCACATCTTGAAGGCTGTTTGGGTCAAAACACGGCATTCTGATTGACTTAGGGTTCACGCTTGGTTCAGTTCCCCATTGCTGTTTAACGACCGGTCCCAAAACTTTGGCTTAAAAAAGAACAAACATTTTCTAGCTCGGAATCCTGTCATGTAAGCAGGGACACATGTTTCTCTCCACGTGCTGCTGACGGGATGATCTGCCCGGGTCTGGAGGAGGAAGACCTCCAGGGGCCTCACCTGGGGTGTTGGAGCAATGGGGGTCGCTGGGCTGCTCTCTCCATATGGCTCCATCCGTGGGCACCTGCGCCAGCAGACAGAAGGCATCTTTTCACTGCATCCCATGGTCCAGGCACTCCACCAGGCCAGCCCAACTCAAGGGGAGGGGCAGCACACACGGTGGGGAGAACTGTTTGGATTCCTTTGGTGTAACAGAGAAGAGAGCAAAAGGGAGAAAGTTAATGAAATGATGTGTCTATTGCAGAGAACGTTCTAGAACGTGAGACTTGAGAAGGCGTTGCTCAGAACTGTTAAGGCCAACAACCTTCAGAAAGATTCTCTAACGGATGCCCAGGGTTCTTAATCTGGTCAGCCGCAGGCTTCTGTAGACGCCCTGAAACAGTGCCAGGTGTTGCCTGTGTGGGCTTTTATGTCCCTGCAGGGAGGTGGGGGAACTGTAACCTTCAATCCAACCCCAAAGGAAGCTATAATCCAAAAAAAGGTAAATAACCATTACCCTGTAACTGACAGGCAGCATCACCCTGACGGTGGACAGAAGCAGCCTTGAAAATAACCACCAGCCCACAGTTCAAAAAAAAAAAAAATCGCAGCTATTCATCGAGCATCAACCCTAGATTGTTTCCTTTTCACAGAAAGCCTGTAACTGTCTTCTGCAGGAAGACACTTCAAATTTTAAAGATCACCTTTCAAGACTGAAAATGTTCTGAGAAGCCTCTTTCCAGTAGAAAGAAGCCAAGGGCAGGCAGGGCAGCTGGGAGGTGCGCGGGGAGGGAAGACAATACACAGATGGAAAATCCAGGGGCCAGGGCTGGCTCTGGGCTAACGGAACCATCGGAAAGAATCAAATTGCTTCAACAGACAGAATTTAAGGCACCTTCTCCAGAGTCGTTTGACCCTGTGTCTAACTTGGCTTTATTTCTCTCCGCAGCCACGGGACCCGATGCGCCGGGGAAGTGTCTGCTGCCGCCAACAACAACATCTGTGGGGTTGGAGTGGCTTACAGCTCCAAGGTGGCAGGTAAGCTGTCCCTGCCAAAGGGCCAGAGAAGGCATCACACTTGGGTCCCCAGCCTGGCCGGAGCCGGGCAAAAATTCCCAGCAGAGCAGGCGAGCCAAGACTGGTAGATTTAGCATGAATGAAAAAAAAAATTTTTAATTTAACCTATATGGCAATATCAATAAAATTTAAAATTGTTTAAGGTGCACGGATCATGAGCACAGAGAACAATGAAGTCTTACCAGTGGTTTCACCCATGTAACCATCACGAAACCACACCCCGAAGCCTTCCACCCCAGTCACTGCCCATACACACTGCCCCTACACACTGCCCCCGATTTCTGGCAGCAAATATTGGTTACCCGCAGGTTCTAAACTTTATATAGCTGAAATTGTGCTGTCTGGACTCTTTTTGTATCTGTATCCACAACATTTTCAAATAAAGACAGTAGAATCTAAGGAGGTAAACACAAACTATTGTAAACGTACTGAGATCTCTTCAAAATGTTTCTGGGTTTTGTCTTTGGGGTTTTGTTTGGTTTTGTTTCTGCATAATGCATCTCATCTTTAAAGAAGTCTATCCTGCCTAGAATGTTTGTATTAAATTCCATGGGAAGGAATTTAACAAGTCCCTCTTTATGGGGCCTTTAGAAGTGAGAGTGACAGGTCACCAGAAATTTGGAAAACAATATCACCAACCACCCTCCAAAAAAAGAGGGAGAATGAGAGAGAAAGAATAAGGGAGAGAGGTTCATAGACTTTCAACAAGATGCCGGAGGATGGAGTGGCTCCTGGCTCATTCCAAGTTTTGCATCAAATTTGGTTCTTAATTTATTCAGGCTGAGTCACCCGACCTTGTTATTCTTTTTTTTCACAGTGGTCTTGATATTTTTTTTCCTGGTGATTTAATGGAACCATAAACATACTCTGTGCTGATGCTTGCATTTTCAAGGACCTAAATCAAGCAAGAGCAACCTATGCCACCCCACCATTAAGCTCTTTCGACACTGTTTGCTAAGAGGCTCCCCTGAGCTGGGTGCTGGATTTCACAGAACAGCACCTCTGGGGCGTTCTGAAATGCAGCCAGGGAGGATTTGCCCCTCGGCTTTCAGCTCACTGTACTCTGCGTGCCTCCAAAACGCTGGCACTCAAATGTCAGAAAGCACTATGAACTCAGGGGAAAGGACATCACCTAGATAACATTTTACAAGCCAGGCTCACACGGTGGGTGCTATGGGAGGAGGTGGGTTCCCTATTCACAGCACAGACTGGAGGCAACTGAAAACTTCAAGCCTGGATTTCTCGTTCACAATGATGGTCTTCAAAAGAGTTTTGAAGTTGTTACATGCCCAGAGTAACTTTTTGAACAAGGGAGTCTTAGAACTACTGCCTGCAAAAATGAAGACGGGATTAGCTCACAGCATTCAGGGGTCCACTGGGTTCCTCTTCGCCCTCTGCTTCTTCTATCTTTTTCTCTCTTATCACGTGCACCTTGAAAACATCTGAGTTGCTCATCAAGTGTACCGAATTCTCCTGCTCTCTTGGTTTGAATTCCCTAAAAGCAAAGCTGAGGCAGGGATTTGGGTGCAAGGCATTTCTTTGGGAAGTGACTCCTGGAAGCCAGAGTGAGGGAAAGAGAAAGGAAGATGGTGAAGTGAGGGGCCAGCAAAGGGTGTGGAGATGAGCTGGTGGCTCCCACGGACAGCTGGGGCTCTGAGGGACTATGGGGACACCCTTCAGAATTGCCCCCCAAGGTGAGGAGGCTGGGGAGTTGACCCACCAACTCCCATCTTTCATTGAGGTGTGGGGTCTCCTGGGCCACAAGCAACTGGCCTGTCCAGCTTGACGTTCACAAGGGCTGAGCACAACCCCCAAGACAGAGAACACACCCCAGACAAAGACCCTGAGATGGGACCAGTGGGTCCAGGCAGAGTGTGACAGCCTCTGACTCACCCCTGACCCCAAAGGCGAGTGACGCAGCCTGCCCTCAGAGACACGACTTGACCCGTGTTTGTGAACCCCGAGAGCTCCCAGGTCTCACACAGTGCTCTGAGGATCCAGAAACTGAGCCCAGAGCCGGTGGGAGGCATGCCCAGCCTCACCAAGATTCCCGTCCCTTAACCCCAGCTTTGCTGCCCTGTAACCCACACACGGTCCTAAGTGCTCAAGGGCGGGGGAGCGCCAGCCCCATCCTGTGCCCACCAGAAGCATAAGAAATTCTTCACGAGGAAGCCCTGGAGAGTTACTCAAGAATCGCAACAGCAGCAGAATTTGATCTTACAGATTTCAGGGGAACATTTTGTTCGTTTTGGCTGGCAATTCCCAAAGTTGGCTGGTTTTCATTCTTCTGAATAAGCCATACCCGGCAAAGAAGCCGGCCTCCTGAGCGAGGGAGGACTAGAGCGCCACCTGGTGGCCAAATGAGATTATTGCGTTCCCCGGCCGTCAGTGCCAAGGTGTTCAGTCACAGGTCAGGAGTCGCCGGGGGCAATGTCCCAAGTCCCTCCAGAGTCCCAGGTCTCTCTTCACTGTCTTCAAAAAGGGGCTAAAGTTGAGGTGCTGTCAGGTCTCAGTCCATAAAAAGAAAAGAAAGTGGAGATGAGATTCGAAAACAAGTCCTCTGAATGGAAACAAGGAGAAAATCACTGAGCGTCGCTGCGTCTGCCCGTCAGCCTGTTGGCTTCTCTTCCGCTCATAACTTGGCTTGTTTTTCCATGGAGATTCCTGTCCTTTCTTGTTAATTTGCATGTATTCTCAGATACTAGTCCCTGATCAGTGTTAGTCAGCGTAAGTACCTTCTCCAACACTTTCACACGAGGCCCTCAGCCCACCTGCATTCATTCCATCTTCACATGTTGCGCTAGCTGGAAACCCAGTTTTATTTTTCTCCACATAGTAAGCCAGTGTTCCCAGTACCATCTAGTCAAGAGTCTGTCCTGTCCCTCTGACTCTTGGTGCCACTCTCACTATGTATTAAGTTCCCATACGTAAGTGGTGAGTCTCTGTGTAAATCTAATCTAGACGAAACTTCCTTGCCAGCATAAGTCAGGAAGGGTAGCTCTTCTCCTTTTACCACTGGGCCTTTGAACGTGCTCTGCCCTCTGCCCAGAATGCCTCCCCCTACACTCAACTTGGCCACCTCCTCTGCATCCTTCAGCAGTCAGGGCCCCCGTGGCATCCTCCAGCATCACCACCCAGGCCAGTCCCTCATCTGCACTTGATAAAGCATGCTGAGTCTTTCCTGCCCCGTGCCGGCTACCATTAGCTATTGTATGTTCTTGTGCATGGTTATCTGATCAATATCTCACTCCCCTGGCAGACAACAGTCTCCATAAAGACAGGAGCCAAGTCTGTTTGCTCTCAGCCCTGCACCTACGGCAGGGTCTGGCACACAGTGGATGCCCAGACCTTGTCTGCTGAGTGACAAGAAGCAAGGAAGGAATAAAGAGGAAGGGTCAGTGGATAAACCCATGATGAGCAGTAGAGATTAGCCTTGCAGAAAAGAATTGGTAGTTGAATGGAGTTGAGGGATTCAGGGCATAAGGACCCAAAGCTGATGGAATTTCCACCAGGACGCAGAAGTATCTCCTCTTCCACCAGCACCATCTCCCCTTTGTACTTTATCCCAATCAAATTCATTCCAAGAAGACCTGGGCGTTCTCATCACCCCCTTCCATCCCCAGCAAGACACCGTGGGAATGTCCACCAGCAGGAGCTGCCCCAGGGCCCAGCCATGAAGACAGGGAGGGGATCCCTTTGCATGAACACCCGAGGCTGCTCCAGGCCTACGAGCACCACACTATTGACTGTTATCAATGCACCCTGACATTTCTTGACCAGCAATGAATTGCTCCCACATAGTTGCCAATAAAACTCACAATAGTTCAATGAATTTAAGTAGATTTTATCTGACTTTTAAATAAAGCAATAAAAAAAATCTCCTGTTAGCACAATGATTAACATGTTTTCAGATCCTTAAGACCTAGACCAGCGTGAATTTGCTCCTTAGCCTGTCAAGGAATATTCGTGAGCACAGAAGGTGGCCACTGGGACACTGGGGTGTGGGGGCAGATGGAGCGTTTCCTGGTGTCTCGTACAAGCTCACCTTTTGTAACAGCAGGAAAGGCAGAGGACTTAGCTTAAATCCCTGGGCAGGGCACCCCCAGAGCCCAGGGAGCCCCCAACTCTAAAAGGGTCACGTATTCAGTGCTCAGGCCGGGGAAGGCAGGCAATAGAAATGCCTGGTGTGCGCTCTTCCCTCGCCATCAAATCGCATTAGCCAATGGAGCGTTTTGCAAAAGCGAAGTCACTGAGTTCTGGCTCCCTGGGCTTCCCTCTCTCCCTCTGCCTCGCACTCTCACTCTCTTGCCTGCATCTGCTCGCTCTCTCTCTCTCTCTCTCTGTCTGTCTCTCCCTCTCTCTCTCTTCCCTGTAGCTCTTAGAGCATCCAGGGACAGAGAAGAGTCTCTCGCTAAAAACCCTTGGGTCACCCTGAGTCTCGGTCTTGGCTGCGCATGGTACAATTGCTTGCAAAAATTAATACTGTATCACATTCGATTAATGCATGCCTCATTCCTCCTGAGCTTAACGAGACTGAAAGAGTCGGGCGCCTGGCCCCTGAATATCAATCAGAGTCTTGCTCCCAGTCTATAGTCACCCCTGCCTCCCCTGATGCTAAAACAGTCAGAAGATTAATTCACACCAGCTCCGATGCTCTGGGCAGCACAGAGGGAGCCAGGGAAGGGATGAAGAGGGAAGCAGGCAGAGGGACAAGGGCTGCAGGGGAGAGAGCAAAGGGCGCAGCTGGAAGCACCACGTGCCAGCTGCAGAACAAAGTCCAGCGTCACCATTGTTTGGCACCTGGGACAGTCCGGGCTCGCTCTGGCCGGAGTTGAACTTCTCTCACTTTCTGGTTGAGGCAGGCTGTTCGGTGCTGGTCGTCCGGGCACTGGATGCATTCAAGACCACCCGAGTTTTCTCCTTGCAGGCGAGTGAGTACCAGCCTCTCTGTGATGTTTCTCCGCCCACAAGTGGACACAGTTTGCAAGAACAAGAAGAAGCTGTGTTATCTTGTTTATCTGTAAGCTGTTGGCCACCTTTGTTGAATAGA